GATCAATCAATTCAGTACTTACCAAGTGGTTGCTATGTGTCAGATAATGTATATAATAATATATAATAATGGGGGGGGGGGAACCAGCATGATCTCTGTCCTTTTGAGGCTTATCTGAGGAGTTAAGGTATATCCTTCTTTGAGAAAGTGACATTTGAGCTAACATATGAAACAGAAATTGGAGCCAACCAATGAAGAAGCAAAGGAAAGTTAGAAAAGAAAGCATTTCTGGCAAAGGAAATACCATGTAAGGAAAGAAAAAAATAGAGTGAGGAACTGAAAGAAAGTTGATGTGGGTAAAGCATGATGTACCAAAAAAAAGAGGCATGAGATCAAGTTAGGCAAGGGCTAGATCAAGGAGCATCTTACAGAGTATCTGCTCTTTATCCTTAGAGCAAGGGAAAACCTGGCTTATAGGATTTTAAACAGGGAAGTTACAGAATCGAATTTACAGTTTTAAAGGATGCTTCTGTCTACATAAGGGATGAAGGATGAACAAAAGTAAATGTAGACAAACCAGTGAGAACTAAATATAGACGGGGTGACAGAGACAGGTATTAATAATAAACATCTAGGTATCTGACTTGCACATGTAGGAGAGTACATGCCATGCCTTGTGAGAGGAAACATTGGAGGAAGACCAATTTGAGGGAGAAAGTCTATAATAATTTCTTTTGGTTGTGTTTAGATGCCTCATCATTTACTTGACTTTCAAATATACACACACACACATATATATAGATAGATAGATCTATATAGATATAGATGTATCCTTAGCCTCCTAAACAACTCTAACCTAGGGGAAACTACAGATCTCTCTGGAATAAAGAGATACCTGCTGTCATGTTTGGTCATTTCTTATCATCATGTGAGATGCAGCCTAACTGTTTTGTTTTATTTGGAAGGAAAAGGTAAAAGGAGGAGATCATTTGAGGAAGAAGCTGCTGGGGAGCCCAAAGCCAAACGACTAAAACATACTACAGATAACAAAGAGGTAATGGGGCTGCTTGATTAGGAGGCTTTGCCCTGAGGCAAGCCAGAAAGAGAGCAAACCCTAAGACACTTAAAGGTTCCTGAGCTGAAAAGTGGTAGGGTTTTTAATTTCATTAAATATTGGCTAGTAATGGCCAGTATTAACTCTTTTGCTTACTCCCTTCTAAGACATAACTTCCTTCATTCAGTAAACAGAGGTAACAATTTATGTTTTTTAAAAAGGCCTAGAAAAAATAAGTTGTTCAGTTTGGCTGGAACATAGAGACCCATGAAGGCCAGTGGTGAGAAATGATTCTAGAAATATATATTTAGGTATGAGGTTTGCATCCAAATGCCTTCTCAGCATCTCTATAAAGATGCCAATAAGCATCTCAAAATTTACATGGCCACAACAGAATAATTGATTTCTAAATATTTGCTCCTTCTTAAGCTTTCCCACCTTAGTAAAGGACACTATCATTGGCTTATGCCAAAATCCTGGGAGTCTTTCAAACTAGTAGTAAACTATCAGCTCTGTTTCCAAAATAATTTAAATCCAGTTACTTTTTGCCTTTTCTACTGCTGCTGACCTAGTCTGAACCACTTTTATCTCACGTCAAGTCTTCACCAACACTCTTCTAAATGATCTCCCTACTTGAGTTCCTGTAGGAAAAATGACTGTCTACTTTGTTTTTGTTATTATTTTTTTTTTAATCCAAACATATCACTGCTTAGACTCCTTTAATTGTTGTTGTTGTTAAGTGCCATCGGGTCAGTTCCGACCCATAGCGACCCTGTATAGGGTTTCCAAGGAGCAGCTGGTGAGCTTGAACCACTGACCTTGCAGTTCAAACGGCTTTGCAGTCTGACGCATTAACCCATAGCGCCACACTAGGGCTCCTTAGATAGTTTCCCGTTAATCTTAGAAGAAAACCAAGCCCTTTACTATGAAGTATTAAGCCTTATATCATCATTATTGTTAAGTGCCATTGAGTCAGATGCAACTCTTAGTAACCCTATATAGAGTTTCGAGGAGCAGCTGGTGGGTTTGAACTTCCAGCCTTGTGATTCGCATTCCAGTGCTGATCCTACCGTGCCACACCAAGAATCCAAGCCTTATATGATATAAGTCTTTAAATGATCCGCAGAAGTTGGAGCTCTGTAAAATCTCAACTCTTTCCACTCTTCTCTTGTTTTTTCATCATTCAGATCTGAGGTCAGGTGCTCCTTTGTTAAAGTTTAAGCACCATCGCCCATCGCTACTCAAGTCTCTTATCACATTTTCCCATTATCGTCACAACATTTAAAAGTAGCTGAAATTATTTGGGGTTTAATGTGTGTGTGTGTTTCTCTTTGTGCCCTCCAACAGAATATAAACACTTTGAGGTTAGTATCTTGTCTTTGGCACTTGGAATACCAGTAGAATCTCAACAAATGTTTCTTGATTAACTATCTGGCTAAGTAGTTTGAACTTTATCCTGATGACAAGGGGGAACCATTGATGGATTTTAAGCAGGGGAGTGAAGTGACCAGATTTAAACTTCAGAAAGATTACTTACTATAGTTCATAAATTATAGGAGACTTGTAGGAGTAGAAAATAGATTCAGAAGCTCATTGGTAGTTGCAGCCTTAAAGCAGATGAAATTGCCTGAACAGAGAGTAACAAAAAAAGACTAGGGGCAGAGCCCTGAGGGGCATTGATATTTATAGGTGGGCTCAAGAAGAAGAAAAGTTGTCAGAAAGGAGAAGCACCAATAAAAGAATCATTCCTTGAAATCCAAGGAATCATGTGGTGTTTCAAGTAGAAAATGTCCAACCATGTCCCATGCTTCAGTAAGGTCATATAAGATCAGAACAGCAAAGTATCCTTTGAAATTAGCAACAAAGAGATCCTCAGGAATCTTGGCGTTTCAGTACAGTGGTGAAACAGGTTGAGTAAAGCTGTGGATGGGAATGCAGCTGGTATGGTCTACTCTTTAATAAACTTGACTATGAATGAAAGGAAAAGGAGGAAAGGCATAAGGCTGAAGGATAATTTTGTTTTGTAGTAGAAGAGATTTGACCAAAGTAAAATTTGCTGATGGGAAAAAGGCAGTAAAGTGTGAGAGATTTATAAAGGAGGGGAAATTGAGCTGAATCCCTGAGAAGACAGGGAGGAGGGTGAGATCTAGAATACTTATAGGCATTAACCTTAGATAAAAAGAGGAACACTTCCACTGTGATAAACAAGGGTACAAAAAAACCCATGAAATCCGAACTTTATAGAGTGACAGAGGCTAGATAAGGCCCTAAAATTGAGATAACCTTTAAACCTTAAATAAGAACTATCCCCTGGAGTTTTCTTTTAGATAAACCAAAGAAGAAATTAGCTGAAGTCCTGGTATGGCGCTGCAGGTTAATGCACTGCAAGGTTGGTTTGAACCACAAGGTCGGTGGTTCAAAACCACCAAGTGCTCCTCAGAAACCCTATACAGGATCACTATGAGTCAGAAGTGACTCAACAACACTGAACAATAAGAGTGCTTGTCTTGATAGTTGTGCTCTTTTTAAAAGCTTTGGGATCAAAAATGACAACAGCAACTCAAGTTAGATAGGAAGCATAGGAAATAAAAAGTGCATGTTAATGAAGAGGAACAATTCAGAAAAGAAGGTGAGAAAGGTTACATAACTTTAATATAAGCAGTGTCACTGGATTATACATGTAGAAATCGGTATATGTTCTGCTGTGTATATTTTCAACAACAAAATAATAAACTATTACAAAAAGAAATCTCAATGTAAATCTAATGTTCTCCCATGTAAACTATCACATAATTCACAATAAATCATTAAAAAAAAAAAGAAATCTCAGTGGAGATGTGTACACAAAATTGAATGAGTTCTGGAATAAGAAAAGGAATGTCATGTGCTGAAAGTGAGAAGGGAGGAGTCAAATAGGAGATTTGAGAGTAGAGATAAAGAGTTAAAATAAGGAAAGATTAGAAGTGAGCTAAGAGAACCTGTTTAAAGTAAGGGCCCATGAATTTGTCAAGGCACTAACTCACATGATTAAATAGCTCTTCTCCAATCAGTTTAGTTGGTGACTACCAACCATAAGGTCGTCAGTTCAAACCCACAATCACTCCATGGGAGAAAAATGAGGCTATCTGCTCCTGTAAAGATTTACTGTCTCAGAAACTCTATATAAATTATAGGGGTCACCGTGAGTTAGAATTGATTCAGTGGCATTGGAGTGGGTGTAAGAAAATAAATGGTGAACACTTTAATCCAAATGCCTCACCAGAAAACTCTTCACTGTATTGAAATGTTTCTCTCTACTCCTTTCTTTCTCTTCAGCCTATACCAGATGATGGGATTTATTGGCAAGCCAACCTTGATAGATTCCACCAGCACTTCCGTGACCAGACAATTGTGAGTGCAGTTGCCAACAGGATGGACCAGGTAACATCTAAGTGATGGGTCAGTGTTCATCAGGTACATTCATTTATTTGTCTGATGTGGCCTTTGGCAGGTAGCCAGAGCAGGGCAGCAGAGTGAATTCTGAATTGCAGTTTACTTTTCCTACCCAGACCAGCAGTGAGATCGTGCGGACCATGCTTCGGATGAGTGAGATTACCACTCCATCGAGTGCCCCTTTCACCCAGCCTTTGTCTTCCAATGAGGTGAGTTTCTGAAAGTTCCTTGTTATTGTTGTTGTTAAGTGCTGTCGAGTCGGTTCTGACCCATAGCGACCCTGTACAGGGTTTCCGAGGCTGTAAATCTTTACGGGAGCAGAAAGCCTCGTCTTTCTCCCGCAAAGCGGCTGGTAGTTTCGAACTGCTGACCTTGCGGTTCGCAGCCCGATTCGTAACCACTACGCTACCAGAGCTCCTTCCTTGATACTATAATTATCACCCACAGAACCTGGAGTGAGCCTCAAGCCTGAATCTGAACAAAAAAAAAAAAAAAAGGTTTTGTTGTTTGGAGTGAAATGAAGGTTATCTTCAGGTGATAAGCATTGAAATGTTTGCTCGATTGGGATTCAGATTTTTAAACCTGGGTGGTTACCTTAGTGAAAGCATCTGTCCTTTAATTATAACTGTTCCTAATTGTTCTAAGAATCTTCTATTTGGAATTTGAGTGGCTTACTATTTCCTATGGTAAGGATATTATTTAGTCCTTTGTATTTATTATTTATCAATATTATATTACTTTTGTATATTTTTATTTGTTTTTAACATATATACTTCCTAAGCTGGAGCACAGTGGCATCATAGAAAAAGCACTGGACTGCGAACCATAAGGTCAGTGGTTTGAGCCCACTAGCCACTCTGTGGGAAAAATATGAATCTTTCTGTTCCCACAAAACACTTAAAAGTCTCAGGAACCCTATACAGAGTCACTGTGAGCCCAAACCGACTTCTTAAACTAATAATGTTTAATATTTCAAATGTCTTATTTATATTTCTTTACTTTGATTTCATTTGTTGAAATTAAATTAAATCTTTTTTTTTTAATTTTTCAACTTACTGTGTAATAAAAAATCAATATTTTTTTTTTCCTATAACAATAGTACTTCCATTGCCATCTAATCAGTTGCAACTCTTAGCAACCCTTTAAGTCGGAGGAGAACTGCTCCGGAGTGTTTATGAGACTATAAATCTTTGCAGAAGCTGACTGCCTCAGCTTTTCTCTTGCAGAGCAGCTGATGCGTTCAAACCACTGACTTTTTGGTTAGCAGCCAAACACTTAACCCATTGTGCTACCAGTACCCCTTACAACAGTAGTTCCATGACTTACAAGGGTAACTTCAAAAGTTCATTTTCAGTTTTCAATCCCAAAAGTTTGAGGAATTAATGGAAGTGTTCTATATCTCGTTTTGAGTAGTAATGCACAGGTATATACAATTGTCAACACTCATCACACTAAACACTTGTGAGATGTACTTCTTATTGAGTATAACTTAAATCTCAATGTAAAATATCTATATATACTTATACATATATATGTGTATAAATACATACATATATTCGCATCATCCAAGCCCCAAAGATCCTTGTTAATTTGGTATATATCTTTATTCAGACTTTCTTCTACACATGATCCAGTATGTTGTTGTTAAGTACCGTCAAGTCAGTTCTGACTCATAGTGACCCTGTTGCTGAGGAGTGGCTGGTGGGTTTGAACAGCTGACCTTGTGGTTAGCAGTCAAGTGCTTATCCTACAGTGCCATACCACGACTTCCATGGTCTAATATATGTGGATATTATATAAGTATGCATATGTGTATTTTTTTAACCAAAAAAGAATTGGGATTATACTCTATGTAATTCTGTATTCTTTTTCATATTCTACATTCTGTTCAAAAACTTTCCTTGACATTCTGTGTAAAACATGTTTTCATGTCATTATTTATAGATGTCTCATTCTTGATAGTGATTGCATTGTATTCCACTTAATGGTCATGCTATTCTTTAATTATTTTCTCATTATTGGCCATTTGGATTGTTTCTAGTTAATTAACTCTTACAAATAATGCTGCTGTGAATATTTGGGGGTGTTCCTGGGTTATGGTATTTAAAAGTAAAACCTGCGTATTTCAGTAACAGCAGCAAGTCTAAGCTCCTAAGCCCATCTCCATTGTCTCTGTTTTTGGTCGTAGATCTTCAGGTCCCTGCCTGTTGGCTATAACATCTCTAAGCAAGTTCTTGATCAGTATCTCACTCTACTGGCAGATGACCCAGTAAGTCAGCTTTTTGTTTTTGTTTCCCTGTGGTTTTTTATTCCTTTCTGCCAGGAATGCCTGATACCATTTTCAGATCACCTCATTCTCCTAGCCAACTTAGTCCATTTCTCCAACATCACCTGATGGATAATAGGGCTGCCTGCTAAGGACTCTTAGCCAGATTTGCTCCTTGGGAAACAGAATCACTGGACTTTTGATTCCATTAACACACTCTCTCTCTCTCTTTCTTTTTAATAGCTGGAGTTTGTTGGAAAGTCTGGCGACAGTGGTGGAGGAATGTATGTCATCAGTATCCTTACCAGTTATTTCCCTAGAGCCTGGCAGCCTAAACTATAGAGCAGAGTTGGAACTTGTAAAAGAAAGGTTTCATAATGTTTTAACATATTAAAGAAGTCAGAAAATTTCACATATACATTGATGACCAAGAACTAAAAGGATTTCTAATTACCAAAATTTTAGTTAACTAAAATGGTTACTTAAACAACCTAGTTAATTAAAGTTTTCAAACACTTGTGGCAGTGACAGTTATGTGCCATGGAGTTGGTTCCAACTCAAACACTTAGATAACCATAAATAAGGCCAGTATCAAAAACAAAATAGCATTTAACATTATAAACTAGAGACTTAGGAATAAAACAAAGCTCACAGTGACCAGGCTAATGCATTACTGAGTGACCTTAATCCTCTGCATGAAGACCTCCATAAGGCTCTGGCATCCCTAGCCACCGCCACTCTGGAGTCCGTTGTACAGGAGAGGTAAGGGGTTACTAGAATTGGGACTGGGCTCAATACTTTCTTTCCAGGCCCCATTTGAACAAGTAAAGGCACACTGTCGCACACTCGCCCCATTTCTCCACTGAACTACTATTAATACTCTACTACCAACTCGATGGCACATAACAACAACAACAACAACAACTTTACTAGTAGTAGTAGTACTGTTACTACTCTATTACTGCTGCTGTTACTACTATCCTACTGCTACACTATTACTCTACTCTACTGCTACTCCACCACTACTTCTCTTCTACTAATATTGCTACTCTACTACTACTCTTATCCTAAATAACCAATTCATTCCTAATTATGTCATTTGGCCAACTTCCCAAAACCTTTGCTTATCAAAGCTCCTGAGGCATTTAAGTAAACCAAGGGTTGGTGATTACTTAATGACTAACAGTACCATCACCAACCCTATGGAGCTGTGAAAAGAATTCTCTGACTGCTGTTCCCTGAGGCCCCCCCCCAACCTATACAAGGATTAGGGGCAACTACTCTCTGTGACTGCATGCTAAAACTAATCTTCTCTATTGCCATGCCATTGCTTTCTTTACTTCTTTGCAGATTTGGGTCTCGCTGTGCTAGAATATTCCGGCTTGTTTTGCAAAAGAAGCACCTGGAACAGAAGCAAGTAGAAGACTTTGCAATGATTCCAGCAAAGGAGGCAAAGGATATGCTATATAAGATGCTCTCAGAAAATTTTATATTACTCCAGGTAACCATAGCGTTAACAACCACCAACCAACAGAGCTGGCCTAACGAGAGGAAAAACGTCCTAAGCAAGTATTAGGCTTAGCTCCCAGACAGAAAAATGGTTACCAAAGACATAACATGACCTTGAAGGGTAATTGTGGAGCTTTAAACCAACTGTTCCTCAGAAACCCTATACCGTGTCTCTATGAGTCAGAACTGACTCAATAGCACTTAACAACCAGCCAACTAACTAGAGGAAGTGTGGTGGCTCAGTACAATAAGCACTGAACTGCAAACTGAAAGGTCTGCCATTCAAGCCTGCCAGCTTCTCCATGGGAGAAAGATGAGGCTTTCTGCTCCCGTAAAGATTTAAAGCAGGTGTGGGAAATCTTTTTTTTTTCTGCCAAAATTTATAAAATCATTTATGGACCACACAAAATTATCAGCCTAAAAGTTAGCCTACTCTAGTTGGTCAAACATTTAATTAACTCACCCCTAATATGATGGCTGGAGTCCTGACCATCATTAACACTGCGTGTTAATGCGACGGTCTGTAAGTTCAGTTTGAACCACAAGGTCGGTGGTTCAAGCTCACCAGCGGCTCCTTGGAAACCCTGTACAGTGTCACTACAAGTGACACTTAACAACACTTAACAACAACAATGTGATGGCTGAACCTGCTTTTGCCTTGGCAGGGCTAGACCAATTGATTTTGGGTAGCGTAGTAGTTACAAGTCAGGCTGCTAACCTCAAAGTCAGCAGTTTGAAACTCCCAGCTGTGTCCATGGGAGAAAGATGAAATTTTCTGCTCTCATTAAGATTCACAGCCTCGGAAACCCTATGTAGGGTCACTATGAGTCGAAACCGACTCCACGGCACACCACCAAAAGCAACATATGGCCCGTGGGCCTGACATTCCCCACTCCAAATTTAAAGCCTGAGAAACCCTATGCAGGGTCAGTATGAGTCCGAACCGTCTTGATGGCACTTAGCAACAAGAGCAAGTAACTAGAAAGTGGCACAGTCAAGAAATCACCCATAAATCACCTTGCCCTTTCTTCCTTTGTCATTTCTGTCCTTTCTTCAAGCTTTAAATTTTTTAGAGATTAAATCTATCTACAGCATCTACTGTGTCCTCACTGTGTGCCAAGCTATGTAATAGACACTATGAGGAAATAGAATGGGTTTGGGAGTCAGATAACAGATATGCATTCTACCCAGTTACCTTAAGCAAGTTACCTACCTTCCTTTTTCCCATCTATAAAATAGTGAGTGATGGATGGTAGTAATAAGAATAATAGTTGCTGTGAAGACCAATTATAGTCTACATGGTACAATCTGCTAGAGTTGCTCAGTAAATGTTAGTTGTCTTCCCTTTCTTTGCCACTCAAGATGCTGACAGTCAAATGGAAAAGCTCTTCTTGTGGTTGATGAAGTACAGTGTTATAAATGACTGGAGAGGTCAAAGAGAGGGCTGAATAGCTCCAGATAGGCCAGATGTTTGCTTTGCCAATTTTGAAGGACAATATACTTGCTCTCATTTTTCTTTCTGTGGATAAATAGGAAATTCCCAAAACACCAGATCATGCCCCATCTCGAACCTTCTATTTGTATACTGTGAACATCCTGTCCGCTGCCCGAATGTTGCTGCACAGGTGCTACAAGGTACTTCCATGTGGATCTTCTTCCTTTCCTTTCACACAAAAAGTCTCCCCACCTTCCTGCCCATTTTCCCTATTTTACCTGAGCTACTTAAGGAGAACCTTGTGCATGTCTTTCTTCTCTTCCTTTAGAGCATAGCCAACTTGATAGAAAGGAGGCAATTTGAAACCAAAGAGAACAAGTGAGTAACATTTTCACTGAGACACTGACATTTTTCAAAGGAAAATTCCTTATGAAAATGGAAACCAAAAGAGACAGTAATCAGTCTAGTTGCACTGAGTTGGTATAAATCATGCATTATTCTATACTTTTCTGATATAACCCCAATGAAATCATTTTATAGATTAAATTTTGGAAATATACGTACTAATGCCAAACTTTTAAGTGGAAGTGAGAATCAGTAAGAGTTTCAAGAGTAAAGTCATTTTCCTAATAAATGTGTTTAAAAAGTCCTTAGAGGAGGACTTTTTATCCATTTTGAGCAGGAACATGATAGAAGTGAGAGTTGTGGCTTATGAGTTATTCTCATAAAGGGTATGAGAATCCTCAAGGATCAGTCACATGCTTCCAAACTGTGTTTGGCTGACAGGCGTCTCCTAGAGAAGTCTCAGAGAGTAGAAGCCATCATTGCATCTATGCAGGCTACCGGTGCAGAGGAGGAACAGCTACAAGAGATAGAGGAGATGATCACAGCACCTGAGCGCCAACAGCTAGAGACCCTGAAACGCAATGTCAACAAGTAAGCATCATTGACTTCACACATTACTGAGTGACCTTCCAGACAGATCCATCTGATATTCCACAACCCTTCCAGTTTAACTTGTACAAATCAAAACGTGTTCTCCAGTTTAATTAACAGAATGATCACCCCCCCTAAACTACAAACTGTGAAGATCTCAGCTTCTCCTTCCTCACCATACACACACTTGTATACCAAGTCCTGTTGATTTTACATGTCTCATATCTGGCCCTTCATCTTGAGCCCCACAAAGGCCTTCACATCTTTCGTAAACCTTCACAATGATCTTCCTGTGTACACATCTCATACAATACTCCCAGTTATCGTTAAAAGGATCAATACTACTACTTACTCTTCTATTCCTTACTTCTTCTATGTATACTATAAAGATCAGACTGCTTGGCATGACATACAAGGCCCCTCACAGTTGCATAGCAGCCTATCTTCTATCCTTATTCTCTCTTACTCTTCAACACTCACTGTAGTAGAGACTGCACTGAATCTGTAGAACAAGCTGGAGAATATTGCTACCTGAACAATATTAAATCTTCCAGTCCATTTGTATGAAATATCTTTCCATTTACTTAAGCAGTCTTTGTTTCAGTGATGTTTTTAGTTTTCCATATATATGTCTTATACTAATTCTATTAAAGTTATTCCTAGGTATTTTATGCTTTTTGGTACTATTTTAATGTTTTCTTAATCTCATTTTGGGATTATTCTTTGCTGTTATAAAGAAATACATTTAATTTTTGTAGATTGAGTCTGTATCCTGCAACCTTGCTAAACTCATTTATTAGCTCTAATTGGGGTGTGTGTGGGTGTGTTCCTTAGGATTTTTTATATCTAAGAGAATATCTGCTTAATAGAGATAGCTTTATTTCTTGATTCCCAACCTGGATTCCTTTTATTTCTTAATAGATCTGGTTAGAACCTCCAGTATAATGATGAAAAAGTGTGAGAGTAGAGAACCTTGTCTTGTTCCTGAGAAAGCTTTCCGTTTTTCATTAAGTACAATGTTGTTGTTGTTATTGTTAGGTGCCATCCACTTGGTACCAACTCATAGCTACCTTATGCACAGCAGAATGAAACACTGCGCAATCCTGGGCCAGCCTCACTACTGTTGCCACGCTTGAGTCCATCAATGCTGCCACTTGGCCAATCCATCTCGTTGGGGGTCTTCCTCTCTTTCTCTGACCCTCCACCTTACCAAACATGATATCCTTCTCCAGCGACTGGTCCCTCCTGACAATATGTCCAAAGTATGAGAGACGAAGTTTGGCCATCTTTGCCTCCAAGGAGCACTCTGGCTGCACTTCTTCCAAAATGGATCTATTGGTTCTTTTGGCAGCCCGTGGCACTTTTAATATTCTCCTCCAACACCATAGTTCAAAAGCATCAATTCTTCTATGGTCTTCCTTATTCACTGTCCAGCTTTCGCTTGCATATGAAGTTATTGAAAATACCATGGCTTGGGTCAGGTGCACCGTAGTCCTCAAGCTGACATCTTTGCTCTTCAACACTTTAAAAAGGTCTTGTGCAGCAGATTTTTCAAAGATAGCTTTTATCTGGTTGAGGATGTTCATTGTTATTCCTAATTACCATTAATTTGAAGCCTCAGCTGCTCCTGTCTCCTCACCATTTTTAATTGCCCTAACTCTCTGTATACCTTTGCTTTTGCATGTGCTATTTTACCTCTTGGCTTTAAGTTAGAATATAATTTCCCCCAAGACAGAGGTTATATCTTTTTAATCCTCAGAAATTTCCATCATGTTTGGCAAATAAGAGATGCTCAGTAAATAGAAGGACCTACTGGTTCTCCTACGTTCTATTTCTGCCTAGAGTAACTAAGCAATTCCCCAGTCACACATACCCTTCTTCTAACCTTGCTTATGATAATGAATGTTCAGTCCCAAGAAAACACTTTCGCTTTTCTTTCAGGTTGGATGCCAGTGAGATCCAGGTAGATGAAACCATCTTCCTTCTGGAGTCATACATTGAAAGCACCATGAAGAGACCATGATCCAGGAGAAGAGTCTTCCTCAAAAGATCTGGGAGGAGTGGGAGAAAAAGAAAGTTCCTGGATTCTTACACTGAATTATAGATTCTTGTACTGAAATTTCTTCTCTGTTCCTACCACCCTATCTTTTTATCTTCATTCTCTTTTACTCTTCACCAATCACTTTAGTAGCGATTTTTCACTAAATCTGGAACAAGCTGGAGAGTATTGCTACCTTAACAATATTAAATCTTCAGTCCATGAGTATGGGATGTCTTTCCATTTACTTATGCATTCTTTGTTCAGTGATGTTTTATAGTTTTCTTTAGATAACTCTTATACCAAAAAAAAGTCCTGGATTAGATAGATGGCTTCACTGAAGAAAGCTACCAAACATTTAAAGAATTGACACCAATACTGTTGGAATTCTAACAAAAGATAGAGAAGGAATGATACTCCCTGATTCATTCTATGAAGGAAACATATTAAAAACAATCATATACCTGGGATTTATTGCAGGAATGCAGGGATGGTTCAACATTGGAAATCAATAAAATACAACACATCAATAGAACAGAGAAAAAGAACCACATGATTACGTCTGAATGTGAGAAAGCATTTGATAAAATACAACATCCTTTCTTGATAAAAACCCTAAAGAAAACAAATAGATGGAAGATTCCTCAGTATGATTCAGGGCATATATGAAAAGCCAACAGACAATAATATACTGTATGGAGAAAGAATACTTTCTTTTTGGAAGCAGGAACAAGACAGGAGTGCCTTTTCTCACTACTTCTACAGTGTGTATTAGAAGTCCAAACCAGAGCAATAAGACAAGGAAAAGAAAGAATAGGTAACCAGATTGGAAAAAAAATACATAAAATCATCTCTCTTCGCAGATAATATGATCCTATACAAAGCTCAAAAGAGTCTACAAGAAAACTTACAAAGTAAATAAATGTAGCATATTAATATTGTTCAGTGATTTCTGCATTCCATTGTGTCACCTTTCTTTGAAAAAGACACAAAATACAGATCTCTTCCAATCAGTTGGCCAGGGAGCTGTCTTCCAAATTTCTTAGTACAAATGAGTGAGCACCTTCAGCATTGCAACAATTTGTTGAAACATCTCAATATGTATTCCATCAATTCCTAGTGCCTTATTTTTCATCAGTACTTCTCAGTGCATCTTGAACTAATTCATTCTATATCATGGGCTCTTGATCATATGATACTTCATAAAATGGTTGAACATTGACCAATTCTTTTTGGTACAGTGATTCTCTATTCCTTTTTTTTTTTAAGTTTTTATTGTGAATTGAATGATAGTTCACATGGGAGAACATCGGTTTTACACTTATCATTTCATTGCAATGATTACAATCCCCTCTGTGCATCATCATTCAACAGTATTTACTTGTATTCCCTCTGGGTTTTTGTTTTTTCTGCAGGAAGCTGAGATATACATAAAAACACTCAGGAACATATTATCATTTAAACAACCAAAGGGCACATTCTGTAAGCCTGCCTGCCTTCTAGCCACCAGCACACAGCCTTTCCCTTGCAGTAAGTCTGGAGTTCTCAGCTGTTCCCTCTCCATATCATCATCTGCCTCCATCTCTTGTGTTGCTGCTTCTCTGGATAGGATCCCACATTCAGCTCATGCTCTTCTCCTTTGATGGTCCTAGGGTCCTCTGTTCCTGGACTGCTAAGATTAACTACTCCCCCCTTTTTGTTACAAAACTTGTACCTTTACAGTTGTGACAATTGCAATTTGTCATGATAATTATTATTGAATCAAGAATCGAATCCCCATCTCCTTTCACCAGACTTGTCTAGACAA